GGCAAGGGCATGCAGATCAGTTCCTCACTAGCAGGGCTGTGTTTCCCACCTTTAGTACACAGGAGATCTTGCCTCATCTCCATTCTCCCCACTGTCATCACAGCACATAATGTCCCCATGCAACTTGTCTCTCGGCTGCCAGGGCATCCACCAAATCTTTGTGCATTCCCCCTTGCAGTCCTTTTCCCTGCTGCCGGAAGCCTTCCTGGATTGATCCCCTCAGCCATACCCTCCATCTTCTGCTGCCAGTTGGGCTTGGAAGGTATATATGCCCAGAGGACCACAAAGGGAATGGTCAGGCAGGTGAGAGGCACTGTGAATGATTGGACTGGAGAATTTTCCAAGGCAGTTTGGAGGAGAATCAGAAAGTGTCATCTCCCTCCACCATGCAAGCCCTCAACCCACTTCCATCAACAAACCCATTTTAGAGGGTCAGCATGGAGAGATTTATTCTCTGACTCTTCTCTCTGGTTATTTCTCTAGCTGGTGTTTGTTTGACTGAGGGTAAGGATGTGCAACAGGACTTCTGGGGACCAGCACGCCCCCAGAAGAGGTTTTTTTTTCCATTTGGTGTTGCTGCCTCCCCTGCCCTCCTGTTGTCTCCCTGAGGAGGTGACAGAAGGTTCCATGATTTGCTGCCATTCAGCAGCCTGGAGCAGCAGCACCTGCCTCCTTTCCCAGGGGAAGTGGGGTTTCATTGACAGCAGAGCAGGCTGCAGGGCTGTGGGGAGTGAGTGGAAATAAAAAATAAACACACCACATCAGACATACGCCCACTCACACACCACACTGACCACATCAGACATACACACATTCCCCACACCAGCCATGCAGTCATTCACACACCACACTCACCACATCAACCATATGCACATTACCCACACACCTCATAAAATATACACACATTTATACGCCACACTCACCCCACATCAAACACATACATTCACACAGCACACTCACCACAGCAAACAAACTCACTGGGACCATTCACACACAGCACAGGTAAATGTATAACTGCAGTAGAGGAGGCAAAACATCCAAAGCAGCACCCACCGCACACATTTAGCACAAGGGAAATGAAAGGGAAGGAAATTCACTATACACACAGAGAGCACAACACTCACAAACAAAGCAGAGAATAGTCTAGGAAAGTGAATAATGGTAAGAAAGCAAAGGAGGAAACACACACGCAACACAGCAAAGCACACCACACACCTGCATAACCAGGGGCATGTGCAGACATTTTACTTTGACCCCTTTTGGGGGATCATGTTCTGTGTCCCCTGCCACCCCACTGGCAGGAGCTCGCTCACCCTACCTCCCCCGCACCCTGGAAGGAGCTCGCTCTTCCCTGACTCCCACCCCCCTATCCCTCCGCAGCCCCAGGGCCGGGAGGAGCAGCTCACCCACCCCCCTGCCACTGCAGACCCAGCCTGGGGCTGGAGTAGTTCTGTGCTCCCAACAATTATTGGCGGGGGGGGGGGGGCAGGGGCTGTACCCCTGTTTGCCCTCCCCCATTGTGCATGGACATGCAGAAGCCTCCTCACACAGTTTAAGGGACTCTGCAGAAGTGTAAACAGTAGGGAAAGAAGAGGGGGAAAATCCTCTACACTAGGGATGTAAGTAATGTTTAAAAAGTTAACCATTTAAACCATTACGATTCTATCCTTTAAAACGGTTAATTGATTAAAGGGAGAGGGGCTGGGGTTGCTCTGGCCAGCAAGGCGGAGGCTGGGTCTGGGGGCCGCCAGCACGGCTGGAGTCCAGACTGGCGCAGACGGGGCCCGGCTGGCGTGGCCGGGGCTCGGGCCAGGGTCTGGCCAACACATCCAGCCAACGTGGTTCGGGGTCCAGCGTGACGTGGGAGCCAGGGCTGGGATTTGGCCAGCTCAGTGTGGCCAGGGGTTAACGGTTAAGGTCTGTTAACATTTTACATCCCTAGCTAAAATCCCTACACCCAAATCCACACAAATACCAACTCCCATGAAGAAAAAGGGGCTGCTGGGGAATGTGAACCAGCCAGGAAACACAGGGGAAGTAAATACACAACACACACTCACTGAATAGACGCGGATTCAGGAAAGACAGAGAATAGGTGGGTGAAAGGAACACAGCATGCTCACAAGAAGGTACCTGCCTTACAACACACAGGCATACACATATCCTCTTCTTGCTTACAGAGAGTGTATAAAAAATGAAAGAATCGTGGGGCCAGAGAGAGCAAGCAAACAAGCATGAGAATGATTCTGTGACCTGGTGGTGGGAACACTCCCTTCAGAAATGGGAGATCCAGGATCCTGTTCCCAGGACTCTCTTATTTATTATCCAAAGTGAAACAGCTTTAACAGGAGAGACTGAGGGACTCCCACATCAGACTGTCCCATAGCCCAGTGGTTAGGCCACTCCCCTAAGAGTAGCAAGTCACTGTTTAACCCTTTCTCCCCCTCAGGTGCAAGAGGAACTTGAACCAGGGGTGTCCTGCATCCCATGTGAGTGCCCTAACAAGGGGTGAAAGTAAAATGGAACTCTTACTGATATGGGGGCTGGCTCTGGCTCATCCCCTAGCCAGCCCATCTGCACTGCCTGGCCCGCACCGCCTGGGGCTGCAGCAGCGATTTAAAGGGCCGAGGGCTCTGGCCACTGCGGCGGTAGTGGCAGTGGCGGCCGGAGTCCCGGGCCCTTTTAAATCACCGGCCTCGGGGCAGCTGCTCCTTTTCCGCCCCCCCGCCCCGTCGGTGGCCCGGGGGGAGGGACGACGACGACTTTAAGCAGGGTCCTTTGACGTGGCAGAGCTTTCACATCGCTGCCCCTTTTGCACTTCCCCACTGGTGGCCCTGCTGCGCAAAAGGGGCAGCGATGTTAAAGCTCTGCCAGGGCAGTGCTTTAAAGTCAGCTGTATGGGCCAGTTCCAGGGGCACTTTTTTATTGGTACACTATAGCGGCCCGTACTGCCTTACTTTCGCCCCTGGCCCTAACTGTCAGGCTAAAGATTATGAGGGAAGTCTGCCTAACTCACCTGCAGCGCCTGATCCGGTAAGCACGTTCAGACCTTGCCTACCAGGCGCTGCAGGTGAGTTAGGCAGAGCAACACCTATCTTCCCCCAGGCTGAGCATTGTTCTGAGGCTCAGGCACCCACATGCATGCTGTGCACATGCTGAGAAGCAGAAACACAGGTACCTAGGGAACTTTTACTGAAAAACTTTAAGTGCTGAGAGACATCTGAGCAGGGTTTCTGTGACTTAGGCACCTAAGTCCTTTTGTGAATCTAGCCCTAAGTGCCAAGGTCTGTGGCAGAGCAGGGACTTGAAGTAGATCTCCCAAGTCGCAGGCTAATATCCTAACCCCTTCACCATCCTTCCTCTCCCCATCTTGTGTTCTTAGGCCAGGTGCTCAGTGTGACCCAAGAATGGGGCTAAAGGAATGTCCTGATTTTGGTATGTACATTCTGGTTCACCGAAAGAATGTCATGGAAGGTCTCAAATTAAAGCTGGGGTCACACTCGTCATTGATATCATTGTGAGATGTATGTACAGTTTCTATGTAAGGAGCTATGTATACATACTGAAAGAATGTTTCAAAGACTGTATCAAAGCAGAGTTGACAAATGGGTTTTCTGTCAGGCTAGGAATATTTATTCACATGTCTCTCTGTTGAAATATAAATTAAGCATTGTCTCATTCACAATGGGTCCCCCCCCACACCACCACCTGTCTAAGCAAAATGCAGATGAAGGACACAATGGAGGAAGAGAACCTTATCTTGAGATATACTTAAAAGGTTTGCTGGACTATATTTGGGGAACAAAGATGACACTCTGTCATCCTGCATGTAGGAAGTAAGTAGGCAGTGTGTTTACATTCATGAAAACAGGATCCCAACCAGTTTAAGCTAGAAATGCTGCAGAAGACTGTGGGTGAGATAAGACTTCTTCAGACAGGAGGTTAGCCTGTTAGATTAAATTTAGTCTCTAGAAACCGTGTTGTGGTTTTGTTTTATGGTAACCCTTTGTTTCCACTATCCTTACTCACTATGTCTTGAATCTTTGGTAATAAACTTATTCTTTTCTTCACTCTGAGTATACCTCAGTGCTGTGGTATTAAGCCAGGTGCTGATCCTGAGTTGAATCATTCAAGCTGGTGTGTACAATTTTCCCTTGGGGACAGCAGATCTGGTATTTCTGTGAGCATTCAATGGATAAAGGACTGGACACTATAGGGGAATGCTTCAAAGGAGCTTGAGGACTAGGATAAACTTATTGTTAACCTGCAAGGCAAAGTAAGGGCTGGCATAGCCCAGAAGAGCATGATAGTGTAGTGCACAGACCTGGCATCCAGTTAAGCACAAGCAAATCTCCCTCACACTGGAGGCAGTGGATAGAAGGTGACTCACAGACCCCAAGAACTGTCATACTCAGATATTGCAATAATGAGCTGGGTATAAATACCTAAATAAACAGATCGATAAGATTAGATCAAGGGATTATGCACCAATAATTAAATGTACCACGCTGAGGTCCATGCAATGAGTACAGCAGAATTAACCAAACCCAGAAAAACAAAAGTCAAGTTTCACTGTAATTTTTAAAAATGTATTTTCTAAACGATGAATAAAACAACAATACAAAGCAGACTGTATTTTTTCACTACAAAAATCTTGCATTTTTATATAAATACAGTAAATAAAACCAACTGAGATACAGCAGGAGAAATCCTTGTAAAAGATTTTTCTAATATAAATATCAGGAGATGAATTAACATCATATTAATGGTTGATTAGTTAAAATATGGCTTGAATTAAATTTTTTTTTTCCAGTGTCAGCCATCAAATCACAAACTGTTGTGGGGAGATAAAGAAAGCAGAAATAGTTGTAACATGGTGACAAGGTTCCCTGTTCTGTATAAGCAATAGAGATCTTCTTTCTTTTTATTCCTTCCTTTTAAAAATTTCTGTGTCCACCTAAATCCCTCTTTTTTGTTCACTGCTCTGCTGATGCAAATCATTTCTGGAGTCCTTTAAAACTAGGCCCTGGAGAATGTACTACAGAGAACAATCCCGCTTTGGCCATGAGAGCAGCTATGGATAAAATGGCTGCAATAAGTCATTGCCATCCCTTATTTGCTATATTTCTCTGACTTTCCTTTCACACACTGTTGATTCCAAGAAATGCTTCAACTTGAAAAAAATGTTCAGTATTGTGATCAGTGCAGAAGATTGCGAGACCCTTTGAAGAGTAGCAAGATAGCTTTGAGCGGGCTGGGTTTAGAGTGGACATTGGTAATCCCGAGGCTATGATAACAGGACTCACCAAAAAGGATATCACAGCAGAGAGCTTAGATGAGTGAAATAATTTAAATACCTAGAATTAATGGTCATTGTTGCTGCTGCTGCTCTCTTCAGAGGTGCCTGGCATCATATTAACGCTGTGTGGTGCCAATGGCAGGAGATGATCCCAGTTCCCTGTGACAAAAAGGTGCCAATCAAGTTAAAAGATGGAGAGAGTATAAAACTGTAATTTGACCCACCCTAACATCCAGAACAGAGACTTGGCCAGCCACAAGAAAGGAAATCAGGCTGCTCTCCACCACGGAAATGAAGATGTTGAGATGGTCAAATGGTTGGATGCTCGGTGACAGGAAACAAAACGAAATTGTGAGGGGCCTAAAGCGGGTTGCTGCAAATGCAGAGAAGCTGAAGGAGGCTAGGCTCTGCTGCCATGGGCATATTCAGCGGAGAAACGAGGATTATATCGGTAGGATGGATTTTGCAACGGAAGATGACCAATGGGGAGATCAAAAACTTGGTATATGGACCAGATATCAGTGGGCCTCTGAAAGACCAATCTGCATGACAGCCTGGAGTACAATCATGAGTTTTAGAAGAAGGCTACAAAGGTTGCCAACCCTGTATAAGGAAGTGGCAAGAGAGAAGTCAGTAACTGTCATATTTTTATTGCTACTTTAGATTTTTGTCTCTCTTTTTAATATACATATATATATATAGGATCAGCAGCCCTTGAACACTGAAGTTTTCTGTTTAGGTCTCAGATCAGCTATAGCATGGGCAGTAGCAATGTAAGATGCTCTCATATTGTTCCATCAATGTACCTTGAATCTGAGATGCAAAAATCACTTGTAGAGATGTGAAGGGAAGTCAGTGTGCAAGGACAATTCAGTCCTGTCCTCAATACTGAGGTTACCAGTGAGGTGGCTAATTAATGTTTATTGTGATGGTACTTTTTTAAAAAAGATTGTTTTAATTCCATATACCTTGTTATTTCTGATGCCTTTAAGAGTTTACAGTTTGGGCCTGATTTTGCAAGCCCTTTGATCTTATCAGAAATTCTCCTCATAGGGAGATACTCAGAAGGGCTGGGGAGTACCAGGTTGCAAAACATTTTCAGTGGTCCCTAAGCAGCAAGCAAAAAAAAAAAAAAAAATGGCTCTGGAAATTCGCCATGGCAACTTCCCTGACTGCCTGTCCATAAGGCCAGCCCTGATACTCAGATCCTTTGTTTCTTTACTTTGTGCAAAGACTGCACTGTTGCTTCTGCTCCTTGACAAATAAATTAAATGTAACAATAGTAAAAATGCCAGTTGTGATTTTAAATCTGCAACAATCTGACAATTTTTACCAACAATTTTTCTATTTAAACAAGTTAAAAAATATGTTTGGTTTTACATACACCCACCTCCCAATCTTGTAATTATTGTTAATTTCAGAAAATAAACAGAATGGCACCTTCTAACTCAACAAATCTGTGCCTGATGCATCTTACCCTCCATCTGCTGACACATGCATGTTCCTTAAACATTAATGCTGCAGACTTAAAAAAGCTATGAGAGTAAACTTCTTCTGCTTCATGTCTCCTCTAATTCCATTAATTAATTTCAGATTGTGGTATTTTTACAATTCATTAATTGAAAGAGCTTCTAAATTGCCATAGGAGCTGCTGGTGATAATGAAAGAAGCAGAAAATACATACATGGATTTTCAGCTCACAGGTTTGAGGTTTAAGCATGAAACCTTGGGCAATGAAAAAAATCATTTTTTGAATTGTAAACCATGGCATACAGAGCTTTAAGAGGTATAGTAACTGAGCTACTAAGGTACTTTAAGAGGTATAGTAATTGACTTTGTGTGGATAGTCATGTGCCTTAGCCCCCTGATCATTTTCGTTGCCCTCCGCTGGACTCTCTCCAATTTGTCCACATCCTTTCTGTAGTGGGGGCCCCAAAACTGGATGCAATACTCCAGATGTGGCCTCACCAGTGCCAAATAGAGGGGAATAATCACTTCCCTTGATCTGCTGGCAACACTCGTACTAATGCAGCCGAATATGCTGTTAACCTTTCTGGCAACAAGGGCATACTGTTGATTCATATCCAGCTTGTCATTCACTGTAATCCCCAGGTCCTTGTCTGCAGAACTGCTGCTTAGCCAGTTGGTCCCCAGCCTGTAGCAGTGCATGGGATTCTTCCATCCTAAGTGCAGGACTCTGCACTTGTCCTTGTTGAACCTCATCAGATTTCTTTTAGCCCAATCCTCCAATTTGTCTAGGTCACTCTGGACCCTACCAGTATCCTCCAATATATCTACCCCTCTCCGCAGCTTAGCGTCATCTGCAAACTTGCTGAGGGTGCAATGATTGGCTATTTGGATTTTGAGACATATAAACTAAAACAGGTTTGATGGGGAAACCTAGGGCATGATTCTGCTCTAACACTGGTGTGTATCAGAAGTAACCCAGCTGAAGTCAATGGAGTTTCGCTGGTGTAAAACTGGTGTAACTGAGAGAACAATCAGGCCCATAGAGAGAAAATCTGAGATGGTCAGAAAACAGAAAAAAAAGTCACATAAAATCTTTTGCATTATTTATCTACATTTTGTTTCAGTGGAAATTTTCTAAGTGGCAACAGAGAGAATGACTCTGCAATTTCTACAATGTCATTTTTACAGAGCCACTTTTCTGCTTTTAACTAAACTTGAATAGAAACTAAGGATAAATACTGTCAATTCTAAATAAGAGCCATTTGAATGCAGCCACAAGGTAGTTTTATGAAGCAAAACCTTTCCTCCTTCCTGTTGTCTCTGAACTTAACTGTGATTTGTTATGATATCCTTGGCCTTGTTGACAAGTATAGACAGAGCCAAGAGGGAAAAAACCAGAAGACTCAGGGTCTAAAAGCTATTGCATAACTCCTGTCTGCTTTGACTCGTGTGTGTGTGCGTGCGTGCGTGTGTGTGTCTCCTGAATCTTTTTCCTTCTCTCTTTGTCCCCCAACAATCCACTCTGATGTGTGCTTTTGTTTTATTATTGATGACTCATAACATATCACTGAGAGCATTGTCTCCCTGGAGACTTCAAAAGGAAGAGATGGACTTTCAAGGAGGCAGAATTTATCCTTTGTCCTTCAATTTTCAGATTCCCTCTGATATTCTTTGTAGTCTGCTCCCTCTCCCTCAGCAGATCATCATCTAATTCTCTTGGTGAGGAGTGAGGGCTCTTCAGATTCCCGTCTTCTGCTGTGTTTGAACTGTACTGTCTTGCTTAGACTGGAAGGGCCTCACTCTGCCTTCACTAATATACAGAAAACTCCAGCTGAATTCACTGGGAGCTAAGCATGAACAGCTGATGCCAGAATTTAACTGGAAGCTCCAGGTGTCCTGGACCATGACTTTTTTATGTTTTGCACAGCACTAAGCACTGATCTCAATAATTAATGCACGAATAAATAAATAAATAATCACACTCACTCTTTCTTCCTCTCTAGTTCTTTCTCTCCCCTCTTCCTTCTCCCTCGCCCCCTAAATATCTAGAACATGATTGAGGTAGGAGATATAGCAGATGGCCAGCCGGAGGACTTCAATCTTTGAGAGTTTCTTGTCGGGGGGCAGAGTGGGCAGCAGCTGCCGGAGCTCCCCATAGGCCATGTTGAATGCCTCCACCCGGCTCCTCTCCCGGGTGGCATGAGCTGAGCGGTAGTTTGCTGTAGCCCGCCGGCTACGTCGTTTCTCTTCCCGGCTCAGATGCTGCAGGTTGGCTGCTCCCCCAGACCTGGCATTTTCTCCATTTTCTGCTGTCAGGGCTAGGTTTTCCAGGAAGCAGCAGTCTCCCCTGAGGTCACTCCCAGTGAGGGATTCTTGGTCAGAGTCTGCACCCCAGAGAGGGTCTGAGAAATCCCTCTGGTCCAGCATCATGTTCCTAACCAGGAAAGGAAAGAGAAAATGTCAATGGCAGAATATAAAGGCCTTTCAACCCAAAGGAATTTACAGACAATGGAAATAGAATCACTCTGCCACACACTGAAATGCAGCTGTTTTGTGCTGAATTTTTTCTGCAATCCACCCCACTAGCATCACTGCAGAACAGACGCAGGATGGGACCTCAAAAGTAACTTCTTTAGTTCCCTGGAGCAGTGAAAACAATTATCTCCACTAAACTTCAACCAGGACACTATCATAGACACTTTTAGGCTTGTGGAAAATATGAATGGAATGGTATACGGACCACAAAGTCAGAAAACCAACTTTAAGTCTCTTCTGAGACACAGTGCCCACTGGCTCCAGGCTGGGGCACTGGGGTCAGTACAGACTCAAGGAAAAACGCCTGCTACTTAGTTTGCCATACCACTTCCTTCATGACAGTGTCTCCTAGTATCACTGGGTTGTTCTCTTATAACACCATTATCACTTCTTGTAGCATCCTGAGTTCAATGTGCAGATCTCCCATCTAAGTGTGGTACAGGACTGATCTTGCTTAAACTGTGAGACTAGAGCAATCAGAGCTGGTAAATTGTTATATTTATTTATTATTTATTAAGTGCTTGATTATCTACATTATATGTATAGATTGATAGATAGATATAGAAAGTCCTTGCCTAGCACAGCTACCAAAGACAGACAGAAAAGAGAAGCCACAGGAACTGAGATGTGGAAGTCCAGTATGATAATTCTATTATTTTAAATTTAATATTATATATTTATTATTTGTTGGGCTTATTATTGTGGCCATGACTGGAGAAGGGGCCTTTAATGGTTTTTAAATGAAGAGAGGAGGGAGGCCTGCCAGACATGGGTTGGGAGGATGTGTCATGCCTGGGGGACAGCAGTGAAGTAGGATGAATATGAGTTGAACCCTAAGAACAATTAAGTTTTCTCTGTCTTGCACCTTTTATGTAAAGTGTTTCTTTGCCTGTCTGCTGGGATGGTAGGGCCGGAAGTCAACTCAATATGCTACTAAGAGGCAGAAAAAAAAAACACTAACTGGATTCTCTTTGCCCAAAGTCAAGGCCAATATCAAAATGCAGTTCCAGGCATTGGGCCAGATACAGTGAAACTAGTGCAGGGAAGTATAAATTACTCAAAGTCCTTGCATCCCAGGGAAGATTCACTGCAAGGGACGTCAGGTCGTGTTACCACCACCGTCCCCCCCTTGGGGTTTACCCTGGAGAGCCCGGAGCAGCTTCAGCTTATAGGCAGGGCTCCATAAAAGCCTCAGGAGTGGAAGCTACTGAGAGCATATGGTGAATTAAAGCAGCCCTCAGCAACCCTGAGCAGGCCTCCTTCCTGGCCGGTATTGCACGGTTGACCCCCCATGTACCCATAGAAGGAGAATAGTTTGTGGCCACATGGCTCTACCACCCAAGTCCTTTGGCACATTTCTGCTGCTGGGGGCTCTGCACTGTGATTTATGTTAGTGCAAATAAAGTCTGAATTTAGCATATTCACCGTAACTATTCATCTTTTTCCATTTGACTTATAGGGACTAACCCTCTCTTTTCATAGTGCATGTGTGTTTATGTGGGTTTACATATGTAGCTGTGTTTGCATGCACATGCATGTGTGTTTATGTTTGTAGTTGTGTTTGCCTGCGCATGCATGTGTATTTACATGTGTAGCTGTGTTTGCATTTGAATGCATGATATCTGTGGTCCTGGTTTTGTAAAAAGCCAAATAATTACATAAGAATTACAATAATCCTTTCATCTCCTCTTTCTACCTCCACTCCCTCAAGGGCTGAGTCTTTGTTTTCTCAAAAGAAAACAAGAGCATCTCTCTATTTTCCACTCCTGCCCCACTTTCCCTCCTTGCAAATCTCTTACCCACCTTCCAGTCCCCATCTGTCAGGCAGCCAGCAGCACAACATCGCCATTGCTTGTGGCTATGTCAGCAGCACCATGGGCTAAGACAATAGAACCAGCAACTAATACATTCCCCTGGGGGCAAGCATCAGTAATGGGTCTGTAGAGGGAAGAGAATGGAGTTAAGGGGGAGAGAAAGGATTTACACTGGAAGGAAGAGACTAGAGGCTTGGTCCTGCTTCCATTGAAGTGAATGGACACCTTTGGCTCTGACTTGCAAAGTAAGCAGGATTGGGCCGTGCATTGCAAAGTAAGGACTAGATTCTGCTTTCAGGTACCACCATAGGGCCTAAGTGAGTTCTGTATAATTGCATGGGTGCAATGATAGAATTATCTTGCCACTTCTCTAAATACCAGTTCAAACTCTGTTATTCTTCCTCATCTGTGTGAAAAAATATATTTTTAAAAAAGCAGGTTTCCATTATTTTAAATTACAATTTTAAATGACACTTTCTTAATGGGATATTGTAGAGGTTTGTTTGTTTTATTTTCCAGCCTCTCAAAACATGTTTAAATCATTGTAGATGGGTTTTTTCAGTCAACCATGTTCATTAATAGTAAATAATATTCAATTGCTTTTGCATCTGACAAGTACATTGCAATATATTTAATAATGATCTGATTTAATTTCAATCTGCAAACCATAAGAAACCAACAGCATTAAATGACCTTAAATTAACTGCTACAGCTCACCTGTTTATGTGCTCTGAAGAAAACAGACTCCAGGCCAGGAGTTAAAATGAAATCAAATATTATTGATTTTAGCCTTCTGCCACATCAGATGAAGAAAAACTGAAAACAAATTTCAAACAGAATTTTCTAAAAAAACCCAAAGTTTGAAAATCAACAAAAATCTGTTTTATATGAAGCTTCTTTCAAATAAATGAGTTAATGTTTGCAAAGCACTTGAGAGCTATAAAGTGATAATTAATACTAAGGACTCCTACAGATGGGAGAGAGGTGCTGTTTCAGGTTTTGCCTTGATTGGAGGTTTATTACCCAGGATTATTTTTCCCAAAAATATTTTTTCTTCTTCTTTTCAATATAGCTGGTTAAAGTTACATTCACTTCCAGGTGCTCTTTAGTGAAAAACAAAGTGAGAAGTCCCCCCCAAAACAGAACTGAAATGAGCTAAAGAAATTCGTTATTTTGCCCTTCTGATACCAAAAAAAGATGGTTGAGGGACTGGACTGGACTGAAGTTCTTCTTTGCTTCCAAGCAATGCTGTAGCTCTTTAGAGAACTGAGCAGAAATTCCTTTCTTCTTTGATTCGGGCTGATGTCAGCTCAACAAAGCTTTCTTGTGTCAGTGCTTACATCCGCATCACCACTGCTTCCAAATATGCAGAGGGTACCACATTCCATTCAGACTTTCCTTCATTCGCCTACCTGCTTTATCATTTTATTCCTTTAGCACCACTACATTTTGTGTCAGGCTGGAAGATGCTGTTGAAAGATGATTAACGCTGGATTTTAAACAGGGCGAGTCCCATCTGGTGGCAGCAAAGTAGGACGAATACAGAGAGAGGGCTCACTGCCTATTTGCTTTCCTGGGGGGGCCAATGGACTCAGCTGGAAGATGATGTAAGATCTAGAAAGGAGGCTGAAAACTAGATGGAAAATTTCTTGTCTGATTCAAATGATATTTCATGGCAGATTCTATTGGACCGCAAGGCAGCAGATATGAGCCACTTGCCTGGATCTGACATCTATCACCGTGGTAGAGTTTTCACAGCCCTCAACCCCTTCTCAAACATTTTCACTGAAAACCAGACTAGTGATGGCTGTCAACAGCCCCCAAGATGTTTTCCCCTGTGCCCCCAGCTTTTCTCTTTCAATGACAAAGGGACGTCGCACAGTGTTAATAAAACCAGACAGTCCAATGAAACTGGAACATGGACCTGGAGGATTCCATGTAGTGACTGGCTGATGAATACAATCAGTTAAATTGGGTTATAAATAAAATATCAGTTTCTTTCCTTTGTCTCACACCCTGTAGCCTTAGAGGGATTTTCAGACAGAATTTATGTAGAGGGATTGCTGCAATTACCCCCAAAATGCAACTGCCTTTGGAGAGGGAATGCAGCATCCATTCTGCATCAGCAATGCCACATGATAGTTTAGGACAGGAAGTGAAAAACACCTTCTCCAGCTGCAACTGAAAGGGGGAATTTTAGGAAGACAGAATGTAAATACCTAACTTGGAATCTGGCCAGAAACACCAGGGCCAAGACCCTAGGTCTTGCAAAATGTATATCATGAATGGCCAGTATGTGGCTAGGGGCCTGGTTTTACCACTCCTGGAGAGGTGGTAATTACAGCCACACAAGTCCCATATGCACCATGCTGGGACTTGGGATCCAGGTTGACTCAGGCCTTTGTCTACATTAGGCAAATGGTACCAATTTTAGTAAAATGTAATTAAATCAGTGTAGGCCCCCTTGTGTGGACGCTCTTGTTTTTGTTTGAATGTACCTTTTCTCAATTTAGCTTCAGTTAAGTGTGCTCCATTTGAGGGGTCTAGCAATCTGTGTGCTTCCTCAGGCCATGGGGAGCTGAAAGAGGCATTCTCCCTCTCTGAGGGTATGTCTACACTGGCGCTGTTGTAGCCCAAACTATAGAATATGTATTAATTATATTGATTACTTAAAAAGAAAAGGAGTACTTGTGGCACCTTAGAGACTAACCAATTTATTTGAGCATGAGCTTTCGTGAGCTACAGCTCACGAATTCCCAGTAATCACTTTGAGGTTTGACAGGTTCTTGTCTCAAGGTCAGGCCCCGTATTACTAAAATTATTGTTTAGTTGGGAGCCCCAACGTGCATAGTTGAAATATTCACACTTTAGGAACCCTTCTGTATTTACAATAGTTTATTAATACATTTAGCAAAGTCACAAACACTCTAACCCAGAAAGGTAGATAGCGATAATACAGAACGTACATCTGAACATCCATATACTCACACCTTCCCGTGCAGAACCACCTGAAATGGTAGCCATTATCTTCCTCATCACCATCATCTTCACCAGTTGCCATCATTTTGGCACCTCCCAAGGGCTACATCTCTCTCTCTCCCCCACACACAGACAAGGATACAGGTTTTATAATCAGTTACACTGACATCACTATGTCTAATGCATATTCAGTAGGGGTTTCTCCCTTCTTCCTTATTTGTATTTCCTCACCTGACTAACGTTGAGATGCCCTTCTCCCATAGGTTAGAATCATAGAATATCAGGGTTGGAAGGGACCTGAGGAGGTCATCTAGTCCAACCCCCTGCTCAAAGCAGGACCAATCCACAATTTTTGCCCCAGATCCCTAAATGGCCCCCTCAAGGATTGAACTCACAATCCTGGGTTTAGCAGGCCAATGCTCAAACCACTGAGCTATCCCTCCCCCAATTAGTATATTAATGATTTCAGCTTATTATCAGAGATATCAATTTGTTGCCATAGCACTCTTGTGGTCAGACATCTGCAGATGTTCTATCCAAAAGCTGGTGTTAGCTCATGTTCCTGTCGTTGGCTGGTGCCGTTATAGACAAACTTTCCCCTTACACACTCTGTTTCCAGTTCCCCAAAACTTAGGGGTGACTGTTGGGCCATTTATCTGTGCCAAAGTCCATAGGCCTCAAGCCTTATGCTAACTGCTGAAGCCAATGCCTTACAGGATACAGGCTTGTAGATCCCTTGCATTACTGCTGAATAAAATAAATGCTAAAGCTTTCAATGCTGGATATTCTATGGGCTACACTATAACGTGGCTAGCTCTAGGGCTCTAAAAACAGAAGTGTGGCTATAGCAGCATGAGAGTCACCTGGGTATGTGCCTAGGGGTTCAGACAGGATCGTACTCCTCTCATGCCACCATGGCTGCACTTCTATTTTCAGCGTGTTAGCTAGATCAGAGCTAGCGCACGTTTGTCCGCTTGAGCCAGAAATAACACCTTCCAGTTGTGGGGTAGGCATATCCTGGGGCAGAATGCCTCCAGTGCTCTCCCTAGGATGTTACAGCTCTACACCGCAGTCCCTTGGATACATAAACACAAACCCACCCTTTCCCTCCCCTCTGATGGGATGCATTTTTTATTCAAGTCACTGAATGAATAAGCAATTTCTCCCCACTGCTTTTAGCAGAATTTGTGAATCTGATTTAGTGGGTAAAATCGGGAGTGACATGATCTGCACAAAAGCTCTCCGTTCCCCTTGCTGCTCAATCCGTACCGGGAAAACAGGGAAGAAATTTTACATACTGATAAAAGAATCCTATATTCATAAGGTAGTATCATCCATATTAATGAGGGAGAGCTCTCCAGAAATGGGAAGAATTTACATGCCCAGAGCCCTCTCTAGTTTCCAGCAGCCAGTTATATTCAGTGATATGCTACTGGGAAGAGATCCTCAGAGCAGGAGGGTATTTGTGAAACCTCTATTCATATAATTTATTTTTAATAATAATAATAATTTGCACATATATATTTTGTTAGTGCTGAATAGGTTGTGTGAGGAGTTATTAAAGAAAACGAATGACAAACAAGTAGTGACATTTGCAAAATTGTGTATTAAATCTGTTAATGAACTAATTGCCCCTTTAAAATAAACCCGTTGTATTTGACTAGAAATAACAGTCATGTAGGAGCTTTCTGATTGGGTGGTGAACATTCCAAAAGGGTGGGATTTGGTAGCTGAAAATGCTGCTGATCCTTATTGAATGGCCAAGTCCCATCTCCTTCTGGCACCAAAAGAAAAAAAAAGACAATTTCTGGGATTGCTGATGAGAATTTTTGAACGACTGGACGCGGCAATGAGATTGGTCAATGTAATGTGCTAAGCTGAGTGGCAGCAACTATTCTAGTTCTTCTTGTGTCTGCAGCATCCTAGGATATGATTGTCATTGTCTTAATGATCCTCCTGCTGCTACTCGTGCACGCTTGTGTAACCCTTCTGCCCATCAGAGTTGGCAGCAACAAGGGCCGGGTTCAGTATCTAGGGGTTCTGTTCCAATAACACAATGCAAAACTGGCTCAAGCCCCCATCCAGTGACCTGGGACAAATATATACCACCTCCCCTGAGCACTTCTAAGAGGCAATACTTCCCCTCTCCCAAGCACAGAGTCTGACTGTAGCAAAAGTCTTTTAATAACAGAGAGAAACAATGTGGCATTATGTTGGGGGAAACAACACTGTCATAAAAATAAAGGGAAGGGTAACCACCTTTCTGTATACAGTGCTATAAAATCCCTCCTGGACAGAGGCAAAATCCTTTCACCTGTAAAGGTTAAGAAGCTAAGGTAACCCCGCTGACACCTGACCCAAAATGGCCAATGAGAGGACAAGATTCTTTCAGATCTGGAAGGGGGGAACAAAGGGTTTGGGCTGTCTGTGTGATACCTTTGCCGGAAACAGATCAAGGATGCAAGCCTTCCAACTCCTGTAAAGTTAGTAAGGAATCTAGCTAGAAAATGCATTAGATTTTCTTTTGGTTTTTTGACTTGTAAAATAAGCTGTGCTGGAGGAAATGTGTATTCCTGTTTTTGTGTCTTTTTGTAATTTAAGGTTTTGCCTAGAGGGATTCTCTATGTTTTGAATCTGATTACCCTGTAAAGTATTTACCATCCTGATTTTACAGAGGCAATAATCTTTTACCTTTTCTTTAAATAAAATTCTTTTAAGAACCTGATTGATTTTTCATTGTTCTTAAGATCCAAGGGTTTGGGTCTGTGTTCACCTGTACCAATTGGTGAGGATATTATTATCAAGCCTTCCCCACGAAAGGGTGTGTAGGGCTTTGGGGGATATTTTGGGGGAAGACGTCTCCAAGTGGGCTCTTTCCCTGTTCTTAGTTTAAATCGCTTGGTGGTGGCAGCATACTGTTCAACGCCAAGGAAAAGTTTGTACCTTGGGGAAGTTTTTAACCTAAGCTGGTAAGAATAAACTTAGAGGGTCTTTCATGCAGGTCCCCACATCTGTACCCTAGAGTTCAGAGTGGGGAAGGAATCTTGACAACCACCAACAGGATTCATAACACAAACCATGAGCAAAAACCCACCCCAAGCAAATTGGGCCATGTCCTTTCCCTTTGATTCTTGAGTCCAGCAACCCAAAAGTCACCCAAAGTCCCAAAAGTCCAACAACCCAAAAGTCCTGCAACCCAAAAGTCTCTGTCCTTGGTGAGTCCAGAGTTCAAAAGTTCATCCAAGAGTTTTAACACCCCCCCCCGCCTGTGTGGAAATGGGGAAGGGAAAGAGTAAAGGGGCACCTTACGTGCTCCAATGGCCGACTGCCCTGCCTCTCCATTGGTTTCTGCTGTAGCCTTCACCACCAGCCACTCTGCTCCACGCACTGCTCTCCAGTAACAGTAGTGCAACCCGTTCCCCCAGCTACTCCTCTCCGATAGCCATCCTGCAAGCCGCTCACCAATATATCTTCAGGCCCCCTACTACTTAACACAGTACTCAGTGATTTCAGCTCTTAGTAGAGGAGTCCCAGTGCTGGTACACAACTGGCCCAAAGTAAATTCAGCTCTGTAATCTGACTCCTATTAGAATCAAAACCAGCTTTCCTCCCACACAGTGGAGAGAGAGAAGGTGGTGCATTTAGGGCTCTCAGAAGGGACCCATACCACAATGTATAAATACCTGCCCCCAGTCTTTTTCCATTTACTGAGTTTTGGAACCCATGTCCCTTGCCTAGCAATTGCTACTTAGTTGATGGTGAATCCCTCCATCATAACAAAAAGCCAAGTACAGTTCCACTGT